TGAGCCTTGTCAGGAAGGGTCTCCTATTGTGGGAAGAGAGCCAGGAAAGCTTAACTCATCAAGTTTTTAATGTTGCCTGTATTGCGAAAGCTAGAAAGAGATCGGGATTTTTAATTTTTTTTAAGAATAGATTTATAGAGATACTTGCATTCCACAGGAGTGCAGGCGATTGTGCTCTAACCAAATTTTATACACATATTTTCATGAGGTGGCCACATAATAATGCAGACTTTTGCAGGCTTCGAGTGCACCTACATTAGGGTTTTAGTTCTCATCAAGAATGCAGATTTGAAGCAAATCCTCCTGGTCATTCCCACTTCTTGCATATGATTCGTATTCAGATGTGGTGTTGGATTGGGCACCCCAAGTTCCTGTTTTATTCAAGTTAAATGAAAGATATATTACAGGAGGTCCTCCAACACTGTGAAATTGCTAAAGGGAACAGTTTTGGACAAAATTAATTCAGAATACCCCCCAAGACAGATGTATTGTACAGAGGTGACTCTCAGGACCATTGTAGGGGCTGTAGATCTGTTGCTGTTGGAGCACAATTATTATCTCCTGCAGCTACTCCATGTTCACCAGAGATCAAGAATATGCAACATGCAGAATGGCAATGACTGGGCTGACAATTTCTGACATTTGATTATTAAAATTTTGTAGATTGACCTAATTAGGTGTAGACCATGATTAGAGTTCTCCTTTGTTTCTAACCTTTTGTGTGAGGCAGCCCCTGTAACCTGAAGGCCACTGTCCCAAATTTACTGCTGACACAGATGAACCTTAGAGAATTGATGGCTAAGAAATCTGCCTGCAAAGCTTGCATTGAGATAGACTCCCATAACAAAACAGAAAATGTCTCTGTACAGCCTTCTACATCTGTGTGTAGTGTTTTCCAACCACTGTTTATTAACTTCCTCATTTTGATACTTTGAAGCCATATTTGAGGTTTTGTGGCAATTGGATCAGAGCAGTAAATCACATTTAGTGACAGCAGATACTTTTTTTTGAAGATAGTAGGCAATTATAGTAAATAGCAGAACAGAAATCTAAGAAAAAAGCAAAAATATGAAATAAAATCAACGATTTAAAAAAGCCTTAATAGTATTTGAGATTATTCCACTTTACTATAAATACAGGTCCAAATTAGATGCTGAGATGTCTACCATAAAAATACAAGGCATTCAATATTTTAAACACTCCAAATTGTTAACAATTTTATGACAAGTGTGTATACTAATTTCTCAAGTCAAATGGTATCTCTCAAACTCTGGGTGTTTTCCTGTTTCGCTTGTCAGTAACTGAGATTTTGCTTTGCAGTTTTTGTCACTGAATTGCTATTCTTGACCTTATAAACCAATGAAAGATCCAAGTTTAAAAAGCAGTTAATGTACACAAACATTAATGAAAAATTGCTTGATTGCAGTTTATTGTTTGAAAGAGCCATAGATTAATGATTCTGTAGGATACACACACTGATATGAAAAACTAAGCATACTTCTGGAATCCTCTGTTCCAATATTAATAAATGATAAGGCATAACTGCAGCTTTTATTTTGTTCACTGTGTGTCAAGAATGCAAAAATAAGTAGTGAATTTTATTTGTCTCAGAATTTCAGTGAAGAATTCTATGTTCCTTCCATTATCTGTTTGCACTGAGGCACCAAACAGCTTCTTGATACAATATTTTATTCATGGAACCTGTCAAAATTACAGTCCTGATTCTTATGTGCTTTTTATCCAGTGCTTTTGGGTACTTGTTCCTATCCATATAGAAAAATTTGTAACTGTAAGCTAGGATTTACACCAGTTGAGAGTGGTTTTGAGGTTGTTCTTAGTATTAAAAGTTTAAAATACAGTGATTTTTTAAAAATTATTTTTATTCAATTTTATGTTAAGACAGAGCACTGTGCTTAATTTTACAAAATTGCTAATAAAGATTGGAAAATATGTAATATTTTTTTCTGTACAAGATAAGATGGATCATGGCATACATTTTCATTGAAACAGATGTGAGGAAAAATTATGGAAGAGGATTTTTATTAATTGTAGGTGTTAAAGGTTAAGTGGACTGTGATCATAATGTGGACTACTCAATAATTTCTTCAATTCTTTAAGTTAAACATTAATTTGGATATAATTAACCATGTATTTTAGAAAGTATCTAAGACTTGATGTGATATCTTCAAATCATCCAGAAATGACAAATTACTTAAAAATACATCCTGTATTTGCAGTGTAACTATATCCTCTAAATCTCTATCTAGATGTTTTTTACTAGACAAAAGATCTGTCTCCTTTTCTCTATGTTACTTAATAATGATCAGAAAATCCTTTAATGTTTTCTGAGGGATCATTTAGGTTGAGTCTCCTGTTTCTCACTGCCAAGTTTATTTTTCAGTAACTTTCTAGCTGTTTCCTGATCTGTTTACAGTCTTTCAAATATTCACAAGAGTGTGACATGAGGACCAGATGTGAAATTCTCTTAATGGTCTTATGCTACTGTCTAGAGATGCAGCAAAAGTTCTGAGTTTTCTTTCTCTGCCTGTATTTGTCTTGGCAAATCCAACATTGTACCACGTGTTCATTTCCACCCTGACCTGTAAAGACCTTTTTGATGTCCTTGATTTCAGAAGCAGTTCCCTTTCTTCTAGGCCTGCCTTATATGTTTTCAGGCATGTGTGTATGTGTCTGACAACATTTATTCAGATAATTCCACATCTGTTCACTTTTCCAAGAAGACTGTTAAGCTTTTCTTTCAGGTCATGGGAATATGGAACAAGTTTGGGATGAGAAAGATATTCCTGGGTCCCCTTCCTTCTCCAGAAAATATTCATTCAGTACAGAGCTAATTGTTCTGACACTGTTTCATGTGGCACATAATCAAATGCCTTACAGAAATCTCAACATATTATTTTAAAGCACTTACCTTATCAAAAAGAGTCTCTCTGTAATTGGAAAAGATAGAAAGTTACTTTGACAGGGCTGGTGCTCAATAAAGCCACAATGATTGATGTTAACTGAGTTCCAGCTTTGAATTTATTGCTTTTTGTATATCAGGATCAGTGTCAAACTATATTTGTCTTTAATTACCCATAAAACTCTTTACAAATATTTGACAGTATTTGATTTTTCAACTCTTCTAAAATTCTGCCAGAAGGAGATGGCACAAATAATTGAAGTAAAAATGAATGTCTACCTGTTTGAAGAATTGCAGTACTCTAAAGAGCAAACCGGCTGTGTGTAGTTAGGGGAGGAGTCACTACTACCTGTTGTAGTGTCCATTTTGTTGATTTATTGCTGGTTTTAAGGATATCACCAAAGATTAGCTAATGCATTATGTTAGTGAAATAGGATCAAACTACTCAGTGGAAAAGAAATACTTCAGTCTTTCTTCAACCTCTAGTCTGGCAAAAACTCTTGTCAACTTGAAAGTTCAAGTAGCATTAGTGGGCCTGACCAGGAGTGGCTCCTGCAGAATTCAGAGGGAATAATTGTGTGTGAATAATTCAGTGAGGCAAACCCAGCTCATTGGGAGTTTTACAGAACCTGTGTCTTTGTTTCAAAAATGAATTAGGATATTCAGGCCTTACTCTGCCTTTGATTTTTGGTGTATTTGTGCAGACCTTCAAACTCAGATGTGTTCCAAGTTAACTGTAAAAAATTTACCACATTTCTCCTGCATTAAATGATAGCTAAGTTTATAGTGGACTGTCAGATTTCTTTACTTAATTCAGCAACATGCAAGACATCTATCTGAACATCTGGTTTGTAATAACAGTTGACATCTGGGAGCTCTTTTTTATTCCAAGAATGGGTTAGAAACAGTAGTGATACTGGCAGTGTATATTTTCAGGCTAAAATTCCTGTCCATTTCAATCATAATTAATTACCATTTATTTTATTAAATTTTTAGATTTAATAAAGTCCAGAAATAGGTTACACCAGCTAACTTTCAAGGTTTTGCAATTATTGAATGTATTTTTTAAATGTTTCTAAGATATTAGTGGGTGAATTTTAAGGATAGCTAAAATGATATGATTTTATTTGATTTTGAAATCTTGAGTTAAATGAAAAACACTGCTGTGAATCTCTAATTTCTAGCAGCTGAGTATCATCATTGGGCAGAGTGGAACTGTATATAGAGATATCTGTGCACGTGCACATCTCTGTGTGTACAGATAAAGAGTCATTGCAAAATTGCAACCTCTGTGTATCTGGGGAAGAACATTTCAAGCTCCTGGTTTAGTTCATGTTTATTTTTTAGATTTTATTAGAATTTATTTCATTATTCAAGTTTATAATAAATGTGGAGAAAGACTATCTGCTTTCAACTTATCTACTATAAATTAATCCCCTTTAAAACAAATTCAAGAAATTGTTATGAATTTTTGTATTTGTCATTAAAGTTATTTATTCCTAAAACTCAAGATGAATAAACCTAATGGTTCAAAACTGGATAAAAGGGGAATAACTATTTAATAGCATCCATAAATGTGCAGTGTTTAACATGGCTTGAAAAGATAATTTAATTGATAACATTTTGGAAAACTGTATTTTCACTTTAATGATAATATTTTTGGTTATTCAGCAGTTTTGTATATTTTAACAAAATGTAAGATAATTTGATTAATTTTTTTTTGCTTCCTTAAAGCTTTGACCTTTTTATTGCTCTCAAAGTTGGCTTGAATTGCATGCAATTAAAAAATAGATAATCTTTTAATATTTAATCTTAAAATCATCTTCCTACACAGTTTTAACTGGGAGGAAAAAAAATTTACATCATTGTTGTTGTTTTTTCGGTTGCTATAGATGCAGATTCTTGTACATGTAACACAAACTTGTTCAGTTGTGTTCACTGGCTTACATTAAAAAAAAGTCGTGCTGTTAACAGCCAAGAAAATTGTATTTTATATGCACCAAAGTAACAAACCTTTCTTTCTTTCTTTCATTCCAATGCCAACACCTTCTCTGTGCATCTCCTCCTGTCTGGCACACAGGATGATGAGGAGGGTATATGGGCATAGCCGTTCCTATAAACCAAAGTTCCAGTTTTGTTTTGAGGGGTGAGAAACTCTCTTTTCTCTCTTTTTCATGTTGCAATCTAATTGTTATGTTTTCTTTTACACTGCATGGAGCTGTGTGTTTCTTGACAAGTGTGCTTGTGAATGCTGTAAGGATGTTTTCTCATACGCAGTGAAAAATGAAACTGTGTCTAATGGTTTAATGGTCTAGTGGTTTCTTTTTTTCATAACTTATTGTGTTTAAAGGTGTAGGTGGATACAGAACTTTAAAAGCCATATATTTGTATGTGCCTAGACAATTTTCTTTTTTTCAGTAGGTAAGTTCTTTAAACTTGTATTAATTTGCTGTACCATCTCTAAAAACCCTGTAAGAGCACTGTAATATCTTTGCAGAATGTGTATGAAAGTTTGATACTTAAGAAAGTTTGCCACAGATTAAGCATGCAGTTTTACTAGAATAGAATTTATGATATGCATAGAAAAACATGAGACTACCTCTTTAGCTGAAATGTTTCAGTGAAATTTTAAAACAAGGAACAGATATTTAGTAAGGGAAGTATAATCTCTCTGTGCAAGGCATACTCTTTCCTGAAATATTATCATAGAATAACATCCCTGCAATAATTTGCTTGTAATATTCAAGAATACAAAGTGCAGCTTAAATTGTTTGTCTCTCAAATTATGTGTAAACACTGTATTATGGTGTGTTAGGTATTGGTTGATGCATATCCACTTGTTTGGGGCTTGCCTTTGAAGCTGTGGGTAATTCGCTGTGGTCTCAGTGTTGCTGAGGACACCAGGCTTTGGTGAATTGCTTGTAGAAAATGTTGCTCACAACTTCTTACAGGAACAATTTTATTTACTTCAATGGGCTTGTTCAGAGGAGCAAAATTTACTCACATAGGCAAAGATTGTCTTATTAATTTTCCACACATTATATTGCTTTTGGCTTTTTACCATTCTACCTCTCACACTCTGCTGATATTCATAAGAAGTATGGCTGAGGGAAATCAAATCTCTCAGTCAAATAAGTGTATATTAAAAAACAGCATTAATAAAATTAAATTTGGTGTATATCCATCTAATTTAGAAAAGCTTCTATGTATTTTTTTTTTTGTTACTGCAGACATATATCAAAAGCTAATTGTGAACATGAAGAAAACAAGGGACACAATGAGAATGAACATGAGGAATATATTTTACGTTGGAGAGGAAAATAGAATAGAAACAAGTTAATTTTAAAAGTATTTGAACTGCAAGAATATGGGTTTCTATATAAAATCTTCACCTTACTATTTTGTACATATTTGTCATAATTTGTAGTTATACAGTTTAAATTATTTAAACTGTGACTGTATTTCCATTGCAACCCGGAACATGTTTATGAACCAAAGCATATTTTTGCCCTTTTAGAGACTCAAAACCACATTTGATTTGGTTTAAGAAAACCTGTGTATAAAGAATACAATGATTTTGAAAGCTGGCTGACAAGAGACTGAGGGAATATTTATTAGAGCAATGTAATAGATTATATGCTTTTGAATTATAGTTGATTTTTATTTGAGAGGATTTTTTCCCTACCAAAAACCAGAAGTGCCTGATATACCAAAATATTTACCTTCTGATCTTGTTTTGTTCCCAGACTAATGGTTAGGATTGATTTATGCAATCAAAGCTTTTCTGGAGGCCATGAGGTGGGACTATACCTCAGTAAAGATAGTGCAGTCTGGTCCTCTAATTATGTTTAAGACGTAGTTAGTTTAAAAAAAAGAAGTTAAGTCCCTTTAAACTTCAGGATGAGGAAGTGTTCTAAGGTTATAGAGAGCTGGTTACTCATTAGGGAACAGGCAAAGGTGTTCAGGGAAATCTCCCTGGCCAGCCCTTTTAGTAGCCAACATAGCTGCAGTGCTCGAGTCTTGTTCGAAACTGGATCTCTTCCCCTCTCCTTACCCTTACAGAGGAAAAAAAAAAAAAAGAAAGAAAGAAAATCATGAGGTGATGATAAGCTTTAAGAATTAAGCCTGCATAGCATGGGTAACTGAAGCCATGTGACCCTCAGGAGATGTTTTGTGGCCCAGCTGAGGAGAGCAGTAGAACACAGTGCTGTTTGCTGTGGCCGCTCCAGCGCTGAAGCGCAGCCGACGCTGGGAGAGCAGTTCAGGCTTTGCCACGAGCTGAGAGAGAGCCCAGCACACAGCCTGCCCCTACAGTGCTTTGTTTGTGCAGCACTGTGGGCTGCCTGCTGTGTCACATTGAAGTAGATCGGATGTTTGAAAAGATGCTGAGGAATGTTTGGAGGAATTTATTGTCTGTGACATCCTCAGAGCATGGTTACCTACACGTGAAACAGAGAGTGACTGAAGCCTGGGCCTGGCAGCAGCTGAGCAGCTTTTGAAAATGGGATCATAAAGCTAGACTGGCTAAATTTGGTTTTAGGAGCAGCCCATAAAATCTGTAAATTTAAAATTTGGCCTTAGTAGACACTGTGTAGACACTCCACAAGGCATCGGTGCCATTCAGTAAAAAGCTCCTTCAAAACAGAAATTGTCTGCAACATGGATGAAAGAATACTGCTCAGACAAATATTCACTGCTCATTTCAAACTCTTGGATGTGTTTCATATGCTTCAGGGAGGAGGAGAAGGCTGCTATAAAACAAATGTGGTGCCTTGATTTGTCTTTGCTGAGATGTGGTGAACAATTCTCTTTCAAGATGTGCTTGCTAAAGCTAGCAGTACAAAGCAGAACAAAATTTGGTCATGTTGCTATATAAGGATATGTTTAAAGACATTAACTATTAGCTATTGTTCTGCTTTTTGTTTTCATTATTTCAAGTTAGGCCTTTGGTAAATAATTTATTTTTCTTTTTGTTTGGCTTGTTTTGGAAAATGCTAGCTTTGAAATGAGCATCAGTAGCATGCAAGGCAAGGGAAAAATAAAGAGCATGACGGTTTGCAGTGTTCATTTAAATTTTCTCATTGAGGGTGTGAATACCAGCTCTATGCTTAATTAGATAAATGGGTGTTGCTACATTGACTGGAACCCAAGGGCATTTTGGATTGGTGAATTTTTAGGCATGATTGTTATTTTATTTTAACTTAGTTTTTACTAAACAAAAAAAGGAACCTCCCAAGCAATGTTTGTTTTCTGAACTGTGGACAGATTTGTGACTTATTCCTGTTAAAATAGTTTTATTCTTAGTGAAATACATTTATAGCTTTTATTTTTAATGGGACATTTTATATTAGTTTAAAAGTTACCTTTCTTTTATTCTTAGAGATTTCAATACTACTGCTAGTATTTTTAGATACTAATTGCTCACTGCTGAAGACAGAGGGTTTCCATTAAAAGTAGGAATTTGTTTAGCTGTATGTATTTGGTTATTTTTTACTGATTATATACTGGCAATATGTCAATCACCTGACATGAGAGTTAAGGCTGGAAGTTGAAACCCTAAGCCTGTTAGAGTTAATAAAAGCCCTGTTATTTATTTCAGTACTGTTCAGTTTTTACTCAGAGCAGTTTCTTCCTTTTGATTGTTCTATTCATAGTACACATATATACAGTATTCATAGCACCTGTGTATATACACAAGTGTATTCTCAAAATTATTTGTATGAACTAGATGCTCTTTGACAGACATTTATCTAATCTTAAACATTGTATTTATGAAGCACCAAATCACCCTCATATGTAACTGTAAAAATGAATTATATAAATTTAAAAGGTTTTTGTCTCTCCCTTGTATTTTAGCTGTGTGAGTCAGGCTATTCTGCCTGAACTTTGGCCTCAGCTTTTTCACTGCAGGTGCAGAAGGTGTACAAAAGAAGAGAAAATGTAGCTGATGAACTTCAAAGCTTTTGATGTAGTCAGTCTGAAGACAACAATCACAGGGCCTACCATCATCATCAGTCGTGCTCTTTTATAATCTTCCATAGTAAAAATAAATAACATACCAGAGTGGTTTTAAACACTGTAGAAAGTGAGAAAAGGCTGTATGTGTTTTCACAGCTTTTCATCTTTGTTTTGATCTTTGTTTTGATCTTTGTTGCTGTAAACTGGAATAGTTAATTACTGATTTCACACAAGTGATCAAATCATCTGGCTGTTGTTTAAAATCTGAAGCTGTCGACATCTTGAAAAAGTAGCAAAAATCTGCCCTAAAGATGTGAATTCAGTGATGAATTGCATTGTGTTGGATTTCAAATCTACAAATGATCATGAGAATGTGTGAAATTACTGTTATTTTATTTGTCTTGAAAACAGTTTCGAAGGATTGTTAGTGAATATTAGGGTATGTGAATGTGGGACTGCCTGCAGATCATTCTGGTTGGAAGATCCTGGGTTGTTCGTAAGCAAAAGTACCTCCTGACCTAATCAAAGGTCATATGACATAAACTTTTGAATGTAAGATTTTACAATTGAACACTAAAAGATGGAAAAAAACAATTTTGAATAAACAATATAAGTTGTTCCAGGAAGTTTATAAAAAAATACAAGAGAAAATGTTCATCAAAGGATGGAAAATGATACCTAATTAAAATCTTCTAATTTTTAATATTCTATTAGTTACAATATTGAAATGCCACTTTAAAAATAAGGAAAAAAGTAAGTGCTGACCTACTTAACATCAATGAAATACCAGTTGTCATTGCATTTGTCTCTTGGTTTTCTCAAGGAAAACCTCTAAGAGGTGATGACTGCTGTCAGAGATAACCAGTGCCCCCAGCCACAAGCCTGGAGCCAGTTTGGAGTCACATCCACACACTCTCTGTTGTGCTTTCTGCTCTTCTGGCACTGGTTCTATAGTGGAGCATGTTTTCAGATCACACACTTTCAATAATGAAACTCCTTAAGGGAGTGGTGTCTGGAGCTCAGGCTGAGCTGAGGGTGGTGTAGGTGCAAAGAAACAAATGAAAGCATTTGGCTGTTCCAGCATCCTTGTATATTCCTTTCCTTTTTTTAACAGTGTAAAGGCATTGGGCAGGGTGGGATTGTCTTGAATATGAGCCGCAAATCACTGGCTGAAACATGATAATTTAT